TCTCCCCCTCCGATTCCCCCCAACTCACTTCTCCTCCCCATCTCCCGATGTCCTCCGTGTTATTCGCTATGCGCCACAAGTGAAACCATATGATAATTGACTCTCTCTGCTTGACTTATTTCACTCAGCATAATCTCCTCCAGTTCCAACCATGTCCATACAAATGGTGAGTATTCATCCTTTCTGACTGTGGAGGGATATTCCATTGTATATATGGACCATATCTTCTTTATCCATTCATCCGTTGAAAGGCATCTTGGTTCTTTCCACAGGTTCCCACAGGTTGGCGACTGTGGCCACTGCTGCTATAAACATGGGGGTACAGATTGTTTCTAATGCTAGCAGTGGTTCCCAGAAACTTCAGAACCGACATTCCACCCACCACAGATGTGGTCAGGCTGGATGCAGTTTTTCTGTTGGTAGTCAGCGCTGGACTTTGAGGTAAGCACAAATAGGACTAGAAACTCATTGCTTCCCGTCTTCCCTCTCTCAAACACTCCCCATCCCTGAGCCTTCTTGACCGGCTAGCTGTTCAGCTTGCAAGGCTCTTTAAGTGTCATTTTCTTGATAAAAAATTTTTCTGGGTTAAAAAAAAAATTGTTTCTTCTTGGTGCCCCCACCTGCCTGCTGTCTCCTATAGAGGCTGACAACGGCTGCACTTAACCAGGTGTTTATCTGAATCCTTCCTTGGTGCTATGCTCCTTGAGGGCAGGCTCTCCATCCTGAGGAGAGCAAATACTTTTTCCCATCCCCCCAGTGCTTAGCACAGAAGGGCAAGTAATGTTGATTGTAAATTGAAGACCAAGGCAAGAGGTCATAATGGAAGCAAAGAACACATGAAAACGTGTCTCGTGGGGGCCCCAAGACTCTTTTCCCTTCTGCTTTCCCAGACTTGCTATTCGTCACAAGACTATAAAGGCAGTGTCACCTCCACAAAGCCTGCAGACCGCAACGCCCCCCACCCCCAGATTTATAGGGGATGAAAAAGATACATATTCATTCCATGGCCTCTCTATGGGCTTTGGAAAGTGTTGAGTCAAACCAAACTGTTAATGTAATTACAGGTTGGAGGGAACTGAAAGCACTGCCTTATTCCTCTACTATGAGTATGAAGGGGGGTGGGGCTCAATGCACTGATGAAGAATGTGAGCTCAAAGACTCAGATTCCTCCAAATCACATGACAGGTGAGTTCCAGGACAGGAACCTGGGCTCCAGACTCCCAGTTCCATACTCCATCCATTCCGGGGCACAGTGCTTCCTTGGGCAGGGAGCTCAATTCCCGAACTGGGACATTTTAGCTTCACATACACATTTCAGTAAACATTACAATATTATTTACATTGTAAATAAATGTAATTGTACATGTAAATGTACATTGTAAATAAAATGTAATATTACATTACAATATTATTTAGATATTACAAGCAATCCCCACTGATGTGGCATCCCCACCCCCAGTCTCCAACTAAGATAAACTAAACAAAAACAAACCCAGTGATGAAAACAAATGGACAAAACCATTAACAGTATTTCCCCAGGGCCAGCAGAGTGTCAGGAGTATCATGGGGGAATCAGCAGTCACTGGGGCCGTGTCCCAATCCAGGCTCTGCCATTTATCTGTTTATGGCCCTAGGCAATGGCTTCTGCCTTAATTTCCTCATATATAAAATAGATCAGACAGTTGTGTGTCTTGAGAGAATTCAGTGAGTTCAGTGCACACAGAGTCTGGCATATAGTCAATATTCAATTAATACTAGCTAATATTACTTGAAGAATTCTTTTGGGTATCCAGATTCAAATGTCTACATTGGTGGAATTCACAATATTTTCTTTTTATTTTTTTAAGATTTATTTGTTTATTTTTAGAGAGAATGAGAGAGAGAGAGGGAGAGTTTGGGAGTGGGGGGGCAGAGAAAGGGAGAGAGAGAATTCCAAACAGACTCTGTGCTGAGCAGGGAGCCCGATGTGGGGCTCCATCTCGTGACCCTGAGATCATGACCTGAGCTGAAATCAAGACTCAGATGCTTAACCGACTGGGCCACCCAGGTGCCCCTATTTTTCTTTATATTAGCTCAAGTCTTTGATGGGTGATTTCTTTAAAATAAGGTTTCTCTCACCTACTGTTCTACAGGTAGCAGTAGAGCCATCTGGCCTCCCTCTGTGTCTGCCTCTCTCTTGGTTTCAAAGTTAACATGACAGTTTCAGTACCATCACTCGGTGTTAAGGGTTAGGCCCTTCTGTACTCTTTAGCTTGTCTCATTTCTGAGGTCCAGGGCCCCAAAACAAGAAAGTCTTTAAATAACTGACAAGACTCATGTCAATACAGAAAGAGGAAGCGCTGTTTCTTTGTTTCTCAGTTTGCTTCTCACACACCCCAAAGGGAAGCTGGTCTTGGAGCTTTGACTGGGGTTGATTGTTTCATCTCCCTGCAAATGACTTCCTTTCTCTTGTCTCCTTCAATACCACCTCATGATGCAAATACCCTTTGACGGAATAGACAACTAATAGTGCCTCCTAGCCAAATGGCTCTTGTTTCCTACAAGGGCCAACAGGGGCACCTGGGTGGCTTAGTCACTATGCATCTGCCTTCGGCTCAGGTCGTGATCCCAGAGTCATGGGATCGAGTCCCACGTCATGCTCCCTGCTCAGCCGGGAGCTTGCTTCTCCCTCTGTGTGCTGCTCCCCCTAGGGGCACCTAACCTTTTGACACCATTTGAAAGAGAAACTCCTCTGAAAGCTTTCTGGAACCAGACAAAAAGTAAGTTTGGTAACAACCACATTTGACTGTTATTATCATGACAACCGTGAATTTAGTAAACAAAGGAATCTCAAAACAGGCCCCTGTCAATACCGAAGCATGTGATTCCTATAAGGATTAACAACTGTGATTCATGATGTACACAGACCCTTGGGCTGCAGTTCCCTGACTTTGAACTTCAGCATCCTGGCCAAATTACAGATCCACGATCTGGTAGATTTCATGTCTTAAATTCAAACCATGTGTAGGGAATTATTAAATAAGCACATGTCATAACATATTTGGGCAACTCTTGGGCAAACTAAAAAGTTGGCAATAGATCTCATAAAAGTTACTCAATGGTCTAGCAAGGCAAGGCAGCTTCTGAAAGCATGGCCACCTGCTATTTCTCGAAGCCCTTGCTGTGAGCAGCTGCAAGACTGATCAGGATTGGAAAAGTGGCTCTTCTTCCACGAACAGGGTGAAGATAGAACCTGGAGGTCAAGCCAGAGATGCGTGTCTGCACTGCATCGAAGGAGAACAAAGCCTAGCCAAGTCCTACCCTCTCTCTGCCCCAGGTTTGTAGAAGTGATGGACGAAAAGCCACACTACTCATCTGGGCCCCTGGGCATCAACTCCTTACCTCTCTGCAGCCTTCAGGGCCATGTGAGAAGGCTGATGGTTTCCTTGGGGGCTGGTTCTTAGAATCTTTAGTCTTTCCATAATTCCTTATTTTATAGGGATAGTCATTCACATATGATGAAAAATACCAAATACCCCCAAACACATTAACCCTTACCCCTTTCTGGTGTCATGGCAGCCAGGAAATATGAAAGCATTTAAGGGTTATTGGGATTTGCAGGTTGATTAGATGTTTTCTTGCTTTTTTGTGATTATTGCAGCTGCTCAAAATGATGCTAGACAAATATGTCTCTATGCTTAAAATCAATGGGGCAGGGGCACCTGGGTGGCTCAGTGGGTTAGGCCTCTGCCTTTGGCTCAGGTCATGATCTCAGGGTCCTGGGATGGAGTCTCGCATTGGGCTCCTTGCTCAGCAGGGAGCCTGCTTCTCCCTCTTCATACTTCTCCCCCTGCTTGTGCTCTCTCTCTGAAAAATAAATAAAAATCTTTAAAATAAAAATAAATCTGACTTCCTTATTTTGGGAATGGGACTAATTATTTTGAGATTGAGACTCATCCATTTTGGAGCAAATATAAAGAGCTTTCCCTCCTCCCTCCCTCCTTCTTTCTTTTTGCTGAGTAATAGTCCACTGTGGGTACAGAAGGGAGATATTGCAATTGTTTATCTATTCTCCCGTTAACTGCCAATTTCCAGCGGCTATGACTATTCACGTTCACGTCCTTGTATGAACGTGCACTTTCTTTTCTCTTGCGCGAATCCTTAGGCTGGCTTATGTGACATGTGTATGTGTAACTTTCTTTTTATTATTATTGTCTTATGTTAGTCATCATTCAGTACATCATCAGTTTTTGATGTAGTGTTCCACTATTCATTGTTTGAGGTATGTTTAACTTTTTAAGAAACTGCTGACCTGTATTTCAAAGAAACTGCTGACCTGTATTCCATTTTACATGCCCACAAGCAGTGTCTGAGAGTTCCAGGCCTTCCACATCCTTGCCAGTGTTCCCTGTGACAGTCTTTTTTTTTTTTTTTTAAGAGAAGGAGAGAACAGCATGGGGCGGTGCAGAGGGAGGGGAGAGAATGAGACTCTTAAGCAGGCTCCAAACCCAGCATGGAACCCACACGGGGCTCAATCTCACCACCCTGAGATCATGACCTGAGCTGGTCAAGAGTCAGATGCTGGCGCCTGCTGTGGCAGTCTTTTAAATTTTAGCCATTCTAAGTCTGAAGCCATGAAATCTGACAATCTGAAGGTTCTGATCATCTTCAGAAAGTATTTGCACTGCAGCTGTGGGCACACAAGCCAGACTGCAGTGGGGCAGAGGAGGCAGAAGTTAAGCCACGGAGACTGTGTGTGATGCTTTCAGAGACTTTAGGCTATCCGGGAAGGCTCCAAGTTTATGTACAAGTCATGGTCATATACTCAAAACACTCAACTTTTATCTGAATTAAAACACTTTACAGTTTAGGGGCGCCTGGGTGGCTCAGTCAGTTAAGCAACTGACTCTTGATTTCCAGGTCATGATCTGAGGGTCATGAGATCAAACCCTGCGTTGGGCTCTGCACTGGGCGTGGAGCCTGGGTAAGATCCTCTCTCTCCCTCTCCCTTTTCCCTTCCCCCACCCTCTCTAAAACTTTTTTTTACAGTTTATTATTTTCCCAGTTCACAGCGTGGGCAGTGAGGTGGGGTCTTCTAAGGAGAAGGATATAGGATAAAATATTTCTTTTTAATCTTACCAATTCGTGAAGCCACATTGCTTCTTGAAAACTAAGTGTTAAAGTTGGATAAAAATCAGCTGGAATTCTTCAGTCCTTTCATCAAACTTTAAATATGTCACATGTGTGTTTATCCTTTCCAACAGGGCACACCCGAACGGAGGACCAACAGAGAGCCTGGAGAAGAGAGACAAAGACAGAGAAACAGATACCATGACATCTGTCCCAGTTTAGCACCACACGTCTGAGTCTGTGAGTGCACTGCCCTCTAGTCTGAGCTAGGGAAGGAATCAAATCGATAAAGCTAGGGCCTCAGATGGAGGACGGAAGATGTCACAGTCTCCGATTGGTTTACAGAATATTTCTCTTTCCTCCCTAAAAATGTGAAGTGTAACTTCACAAATTAATGATGTGTCATGTGTGGAAGAGTCCTACAAAAACTAGGGGTTCATAACTGGAAAATATTTCAGAGCCACTCACTCAAGTGAATAGATCCAATGGGAGCAGGGACAAGGCTAGGACAAGTTCAGGCTTCTCTCCTGGCCTACTTCTCTCTGTTCTGTGGCCTCCAGCTTCTCTTACCCTTCGGGATTCCATGTGGGTTGAATTGTACCCCTCCCCCAATCTGTTTAAGTCCTAACCCCAGCTATCTATAAATATGACCTTATTTAGGGATAGGGTCTTTACTGATGTGATTGAGTTCATACTAGATTAGACTGGGCCTGGATGACCCAATGACTGGGGTCCTTAGAATAAGAGGGAACTCTGGACACAGAAACACCTACAAGGGAAGAAGGCCATGTGACCATGGAGGCAGAGATTAGAGTGATGTACTCATAAGCTAAGGAAAGTCAAGGATTGTTAGCAGCCCACTGAAGTGAGAAAGACATGGAGTAGATTCTTCCCCAGAGCTTCCAAAAAGGAACCCTGGTGATAACTGGACTTCAGATATCTAGCTTCCAGAACTGGAGAGAATAAATTCCTATGGCACGAAGCCATCCAGATGGTAGTACTTTGTAACAGCAGCCCCGGGAAACGAATACAGATGTTTCCACCCATGTAACCTCAGTGATCCCAAACATTTCCTTCACAGAAGTTTATTGAGTAACTATAATGTTCCAGAGCCTGTGTGGGCGTTATGGGAAAAGCAAAGTAAATGTCAAGGCCTGGCCTGCTTCTTTGCCCAAGTACCCATGTGTATTTTCCAAGTCTCCATGTGGCTGTCAGTCCTTCTAGAAAGCCTTCCCCTCTACCTCCCTAGGGGGGTTCCAGGTTCTCAACCATCTCTGGGTATCAGAATCACCCAGGAAGCTTTTAAAACATACTAATGCCCTGTGATCTGAGATTCTGAATTCACGAGTTTGGTGTGGAACAAGGGCATTTTGTAAGATTTTCACTTGTAAGGTTGAGATTCTCTCTTAGGGTCCTTCTCCCCCAGGGTCTCAGAGCACCCTGCGAGGGCTTCTTTTCATCCAGAAGAACATTTCTCAATTTTGGCTGCACAATCACATCACCAAAGAAGCTGAAAGTCCTTGTGCACCTGACCAATCCCAGACCACTTGAAAGAGGAACTCTCCAGCTGTCTGCAATTTGCAACCAAGTTTGAAAACTACTGTACCAGATCATAAACCCCCTTGGAGCAGGAGTCTAGCTTTGTTGATTGGGTTAACTCCCTCCCTAATAGACTCCTGGTGCTTTATGCTGCTGCAAGCGCACCAATGGATGTTTCTTAAGTAAGTTAACTCTACCAGAAAATGGGTTTATAACCTAGAAAGGAGCCTAAAATAAACATGTTCCTACTTACAAAGTTGTACGAAGTGACTTAGAACAGGTACCAGAGAGCTGCGTCTTCTTTGGGGAGCTGATGGATGAGGAGAAAAGTAAGGAAAGTCAGCAGTTACTCTTGAAAAGCCTTTGGGAAGGTGCCTTTATAACCAATGTTTTCCCAAGAGCACAGATATTATGGCTGTTTCTGCAGTTGAACACCAAATGAAATAATGAGATTGCATTCAGGAATTGTGTTGATTTTAAGATCCAACTCTTTGAACACTAGAATCACACTCAGTTTGAGAAGGCACACGCTCTAAGCAAGGCTTATAGCACTGCAGATCTGCTGAGGGGAGAGCTGACTGATTAATTCCAGCTTTGCTCTCTCCGAAACTCGAATAGGAATTTCCCTGCCATTTCAGTTGTAGGCCCTTACTTTTGGGCAAGAACATATATTTTAATTTAAATTTTAAAAAATGTGTGTATGGTTCCATTCCCTTGTGCCAGCAAATAGCTTGTGATTAAAACAAACAAACACAAAACCACTTTATATAATTGTGAGCTAAGGACATGCTTTTTGAATGGAGATAGGACTAGAGCCACCCTTAAGGTTAAGTGAAATCAGGTTGAGAACAAAGGCATGACTCTCATAGCTGCTTCTTATTTATGAATAAACTGTTTTCTTTTAGGCTTCTCCAGACATTCAGGTTCATGGCTACCAGTAGTTTTGGATTCATGCTTACAATCCACCTGTAAGCTAAAGAGCATAAAACCAAGAGAACCCAAAACATCCTTGGACCTCCAATTTGGGAAACCTCTAAGGAAGGACCCTGATTGGCCAAGCTCAGGTCACATGACAATGGTAAAGGCTGGATGGGGTACCATGACTGATGATCCGCTCCCCAGATACAGGATGGAGCAGAGAGAAACAGCCACAAAAGAGAGGTGGTCCCATGAGAGTTCATGAAAGCCGGAATGACACTGGTGCCAGTAAGTAGGAAAACCACCTCAGCGATTAACATGGTGAGAGCTACTAGAGAAAGAGGAACTTTGAAAAATGACTTCAGAGTTCAATTTTTGCTGACTGAAATACTGTCATGTCATTAGGAGAAATGGAGACTTCAAGGGGAGGAACTGGCCAGAGGGGAAAGCAGGAAGCTAACTCCAGACATGCAGTTTAAACTGGTGGTCCAGAGGCCTACAGTAGACCAGCTGTGCACCTGGTGATTAAACAGGAAGAGGGAAGGTCTTGATCAGCCAGTATGATGTGATCTGCATGGAGGAAGACAGGGAGTTGCTGTCAACATTAAAAGAGAAAATATAGAAAGCAAAAAAGAAGAGAAGGTGGAAACTTGAAGGCAGCCCTTACATGTGAAGAGCCAGAAGAGGAGAGAGAAAAGTGCCATCGGAACAGCCAAGGGAGAAAGACTGTGTGATGCTCAAATCTTGAAGGTGTGGCTGAGTTTTGAACCCCGACAGATGGCAGGGTTGCCCAGGAGCATGTGGTATGAGTATACATTATGGATTTCAAAAGAACAGGACAAGCACATGTTAATGGGGTCCACGTCTTCTTCTCCTTGGTTCTTAAGCTTCTGCCATGCCTCCCACACCCTCTCCCCACCTCTAATGCCCTTTCCCCAGCCAATGTAGGGACAGGGAGCTGCAGGAGCTAGCAGGTGTTAAGAAAATGGGTTGCAGGTCTTCTAGTTCATAGATGCCCTTTCTTTGACTCAGTACCTTTGAAGATTTATTTATTTGAGGGGGGGGGGAGCAGGCATGCACAAATGCGCACATTAGCGGGCCGTGCAGAGAATCTCAAGCAGACTCCCTGTAGAGCACAGAGCCCACCCAGGGCTTGACCTTAGGGACTCTGAGATCATGACCTGAGCCAAAATCCAGAGTCGGGGGCTTGACAAGTGAGCCACCCATGTGCCCCTGACTCAGTACCTTTGATACTTATCAGTAACCGAGCTGAGATCATTGAACATAATCTATTATGTGTCATTACATTTACAGCCAGTCTTCATAAAAAAGCAGGCAGCTATCTTTAAGAGGTAGAATTTCTCGTGACCTCCCTTGACTGTAACTGATGCTGAATCCTACTAGTAAAGCTTTATCTTGTTAGTTTAAGGTTTTGTTTCCTGTTAGGGCACAGATTTCACTGGGGGAAAAAATGCCTGTATTTGTTTTAAGTACTGGATTTTGTTGTTTATTATACTACTGCAAGATGCTTTACTGGGTGGTCTATCTCTTCAACCCATCCATGCATTAGTCTATGAGGGCACGGATTGTGTTTGATTTCCCATTGAACCCCCTGTCCCTGCTGCAGCCAATGGTATGCTGGGGCCAGCTTGCACCACTGTGCTCTTATCTTCCCAATTCTGTGTTTGGTGGCATCCCATCGGTGGCTCAGTATCAACCATGGCAGCGGTATTTACACCACAGAAATTGGAGCTCCCCCACCCTGAAGGTGGTTTGTTCAATATTTACCACCACACCACTGCCTGGCCTTTTAGACCTGGTCAGCTCATTTTTCTGTTGAACCACAAGGTTGTGGACCTGCAATAGATTTTAACGTGGTCCTACTATAAAATAATAATAATGATGACCCCTTAAATTTCCATAATACTCTACAGCTAATCTATAGTTTTCCACCATTTGACCTCTCAGCAAAGCCATGAAGTGGGCCAGGAAGATTACGGAGTCATCTGTTTTAGCGATCTCCTTGGGGAAGGGACAGTCTCAGTGAACCCTCACTGTAGGAGGTGGAACAGGAAGGAATTTTTTCCAGCTTCTCATAGGGCAGTCTCATAGAATCATTCTCTTTGCCCTTTATCTCAGCTGTTTTGACATCGGAAGACCAGAAATGGCTGCTGTATTGGGTGAAAGGACCCTTCCAGAATACATAATTGAACAGCTAAGGGCTAATTGTAAATACTGGCATACTTCATTTTGTCACACTTCACAGATGCTGTGTTTTTTACAGACTGAAGGTTTGTGGCAACCCAGTGTCAAGCAAATCTATAGATGTCATTTTTCCAATGGCATTTGCTTACTTCGTGTCTCTGTGTTACATTTTGGTAATTCTCACAAGATTTCAAACTTTTTCCTCATATTTGTTATGGTGATCTGGGATCAGTGATGATGATTTGCTGAAAGCTCAGATGAGAGTCAGCATTTTTAGTAATAAAATATTTTTAATTCAGACATATACATTTTTCTAAACATAATGCTATTGCATACTTACTAGAATACAATATGCTTATATACACTGAGAAACTAAAAAATTCATTTGCTTTGCTTTATTATAAGACTCACTTTATCATGGTGGTCTGGAACTGAACCCTTCATATCTCTAAGATATACCTAAGGCAAGCCATGAGGTAGACAAGGTATGAGTTCACTAACCTTATGCTGCTTGATTCCCTGGCTTTCAATGGTCAGTATTCCAGGAGACTTTATCTTGCCGGGAGACAGACACTATAAGTAGGCTATTGACAAATAAATGTGTTCCAGACATCTGTGGAGGCCAAGGGACTTTTCTCTGCATTGTCCATCTCTGTGTATTGTAACCCCAGGACAACTGGAATATGGCCACCATCCTCAGCCAAGAAGAGAGAATCCAGTAGCATTCTCCAGCTTTGATGTTCTGTGATGTGCTTCATGCGGTACGTCAGAGATCACAGTGAGAGCTCCAAACCAGAAATCTGAGGTTTCCTTGGGGAAAAGACAATTGGCTCAGGAAATGCAGTTGTGTGTCTTAAACAAAGGATTTTCTGGCTCTGAGGCCTGGCTCTGACTTCTGACATGTTCCCCAGGATCAAGCTCCAGGTCAGCCACCCCACTTGGAGTCATGGTCTCTGTTGGGCTCTGCCAAGCCTGGGCCCCCAACTTTGATAATGGATCAAGTACCTCAGCCCCTTCAGGACTGGGCTGTTCTTAATCTTTCCAGGTTTTCCAGGTAGCCAGTTTTCCTGGCCCCAAGCCCTGTTCAACAGCTGGGCCTTAATCACAGATCTCATCTCTGCTTCTTTTCTGTATTACTGCCCTTGACAACTTTTCCAGACTGCCGGTGACATCTCATTACATTGTCTTTCTACTTGTCCCTCCTCTAGAAGAGCTTTTCTCAACATTCTTGAGTACTAGCCCCTCCCAGATCATTCTCCATTATCCTGTCTTTTTTTCCCGATAGTACTGTGTAGAATCACCTTTTAGTTGTATAATTACTTATTTATTATCTGCCCCTCTTGCTCCTTCACTACCTCTTAGATCATAAGTTCTAGGAAGGCAGAGGTTGTTTTGTTTACACTGATTTCCAATTCCTAGGATAGCATCTGACCCATAGGAGGCTCTCAATAAGTATTTGAATGACTGAATCCTTAGGCTAACCTTCCTTTTACTTACTCGATCATTTCTTACATTGCCTTCCTCAGGGACCCCAAGAGCTACTGCTGTCTTAGTAGTACGTGTAATTTTGAGTTCCCACCAGCCTCTCCCTCCCAGCTCTACTGGGCCTATGCCAGGAGACTAAGCATCACATCTCCTGAGCTCCAAGTTTTCCTTCTGAAAACTTGCCAATATTGTCTAGACTTCTGTTTGAGTGCCTAGTTTTGACACATAGCCTTGTTCTTTAAAAAATTTTTTTATTTATTTAAGCAGTCTCTACACCCAACATGGGGCTCAAACTCATAACCCTGAGATCAAGAGTCACGTGCTCTACTGACTGAGCCAGCCAGGTGCCCAGACACATAGCCTTGTTCTTACCACCAATAGCTTTTCCTTCTTGACCTTTGGTTTCCACTCTGACCTCTGGCCTCCCTGGCCTGTACTATGTCTTCTCCCTCATCTTGCTCCCCCATCTTTTGCTGGGCCCTCCTTGTTCCAGCTCCTGCCCTTGCCGCCTGTGGTCCCAAACTGTCAAAGAGAAGTCAAGCATCAAGGGCAGTCGCATGTTCAACCTCTAATCTTTTTGTTTTTCCCTAGATTTTATTTATTTGTCAGAGAGAAAGAGAGAGTACAAGCAGGGGGAGTGGCAGGCAGAGAGAGAAGCGGGTTCCCCACTGAGCAAGGAGCCCGATGTGGAACTTGATCTCAGGACCCTGGGACCAAGATCAGAGTTGAAAGTAGGCGCTTAACCAAATGAGCCACCCAGGCATCCCTCAGCCTCTAATCTTAAATACGATCTCCAGATGAGAATTTCACTCTAGGATAACGCAGAATATGTCAGTCACTGAACAGTCAATAGCTCTCAAGTCTTGTGTTTATCTCCCTAGGGATGATTAATGTTGCCATTTTTTCACATTATTTTTTAATATGAAATAAAACAAGTTCTCAGAAAATAAATGTATAAAACACATGTGTTGTTTACTGAATCTAGCAAACATTTGTATAGCCACCACCCAGATCAAGAAATAAAATGACCCACAATCACGAACCACCCAGTTATACCTGGTCCCACCCCTTTCTCCTAGTGGGAACCACTGCACTGACTTCTGTGTTTATTTCTTCATTTTTCTTTCTAACTATACTACTTGTGTATATATCCCTAAAAAATAGAGTTCAGTTTTGTCGACTCTAAACTTTCTATGAATGGAAACAAAACCTGTATATCTTTTTGTGGCTACTCCTTTGATGGTGACTCTTTTGTATGAGAAAATTGTTCTTAAAATGCATGCCTATACTAGCAGGATCTAGCACGAATCATTATTGGTAGGTTTATTCTTTTTTCATTCCAGCCTTCTTTGGAATGTGAATTGCAATTTCCAGACAGAGTTTACTGCTATGTTTTCCAGATTGCTTGGTAGTAAACCCAACTCCAGTGTCCAAACCTTAACTCCCTCTGAGATGCTTATTACCTACCCCTTCAACCAAACAAAGAACATAAGATGCTTTCTTATCTCTACATTTGCACATTTATAGTAGAGATGAAAATTCTTAATGACTTGTGTTGGAATGTGGCATGTAAGTATATAAGCTCTTATTCTATAGAAAAATAGGAGAATTACTGAGGCCATTGTCCTATAGTAGGGAGAGAATGTGGAAGATTTGGCCAGTCTTGGATAAAAACATCCATGTGGAACAGCTCACCACTAATCCTTTGTGAAGAGAAGTTTTATCTAGGGCTTCCAAAAGGGAACAAACTAACACATTTCGAAGTACCCCAATTCTAAAGCACATTCATACCACTTAGAGAATATTGAGTAGCCTAATTCTGGAATATAGCAATTTTCAAAAAACAGTGATATGAATGAGCCCTTTGATTCAACCTAAATCTTTTGGAAAGCCAGTTTGTGCAATAGTTGTGTAAATCAGGCCGGAATGTATTCTCTGCCTAGAAATGAGTCCAGAGAGTCGCGTGCCTTGTTGGCCTTGTTCCAAAGTTGGCTTTCTGAATCAGTAGTATCACCCAAAATCGATTTCTAGGTTGGGAGTGGTCATTATGAGGCAAAGAATGAAAGAAGAGAAGAAAAAATAAACACCTCCCATTTTGGCCATCTGGTCAGAAGCTTCCACTGTGGTTCCAAGACATTGCATAAACCTACCCATTGTTCTGAGCTCATTCTTAGTCCATGGTAGGGTGGTTTGGCCCCCGTGCAGTTAAGTTACAGAGGGTTGCATCAGCAGGTTCTATTTCTTGCTCTTGCTCACAGCTGCTGAGGGCTGAAGATGAGTGTGTGTGTGTGTGTGTGTGTGTGTGTGTGTGTGTGTTAACAAAAAGGAATCTTGCTAGTACCTTTGGGGGAGGGGTGGGTCTTAACAAAATGCTCACTCTTATTTTCAGAAATAAATATCCAAAGGACGGAAAGCTCAGCCACACCAACACACCCTAGCCGCCTCTGTGTTTCTACCCCTTGCACAGCAAAATAGTCTCTTCCCAATAAGAGAGAGGAAGAGAGAAAGGCTGAGGTTATGCTCACATAACCATTTGAGGGTTTTCCCATACAGGAAAAAGGAGAAATAAAATGCAAAGCTGATGAGAACCTCTTGGTGCTCAGACCAGACCTCAGGGCAGGACCTTTGTTTCCCCAAGAGAAGTCTATCCAGGTGGCCCAGTGTTGGAAAGCCTGGGTGATGGCAAAAAGCAGTTGAAAACGGCCTGGTGGACCTTGTCATGTGACAGGGTCTTATAGCTTCTGGGGCTGGAGAGTCACACACAGAAGAAATAAGGGTAAAAGTCCCCTTGAACGAGGAAGTACAGGGTGTGCAATTTTGGAACTAATTTTACCTGTGCAAGCCAGGCACATACCCCACACGGGCTTGCGAGGTGCTTCTCTTTTGTCCTCTCCTCGTTGACTATCATCATATCAGAGAAAGAAAAACCCTGGCACAAAGTCAATGTGAGAAACAAAGGCAAAGGAAATGTAGCTTAAATGAACATCTCCTAACATCTTGCAGCCCACGAATATCTGAACATGCAGAGCGTGACCTTCCTGGAGGAGCTCATGGCTGCCCTTGTGCCTTCACGTTTGAAAGTAACCTTATCTTGGCCACAGCTGGCCCCTCAAGGTCCTGAGAGCCTTGTTTCCGGATTCCTTGGAGACTTGCGAGATCCCTAACTCCCAGTATTTAAAAAGTAGAGTCACTGCTCACAATCCCAGTATAGCTCTTCCTGCCCACAGATCCTGTCCCGTGAGTAGGGAAGGAGTCACGTTCCAGGCAGGAGAAATAGGAGGCCCCTGTCTTGGCTCTCAGACTGTTCTGGGCAGGTGGAGACGCTGAGACAGAGTGGAACGAGAGATAAGGGAACAAACTAAGACACACGCAGCTCAAGGCCGCAAGCTTCCCAGTCAGTTCTCCATAAAACACTGCCCCTAGAAGCCCTCAGTGGCAATCTCTTTGGACCCCTCTCACTCTAGAGAGCTTTTTTCCTTTCCTTTCTGTTCTCACCTTCACTTGATAAACTTCCACCTCACTTCACCCTTTTGTGTCCTCGAGATTCATTCTTTGACTCTGTGAGACAAGAACCTCATAATCCTGTAACACAGTGATTAGATGTCCTTCCCCGCCCCCTCCTGCCTCCTTCCTGTCCCTCCCCCAAATAGAACTTCGCTTCATTTCCATTTGCCCTCCTTAAAACCCAGTCCATATACATCCCCCTCCCCCAACATCCTACTCCAGCATGTACTACGGCTTGGGACATGGTTCCTTCCAAGTGCATTGGATAAGGATATTGAGATATTTGCTGTGGGTGGTGGTTTATAGTCCATGATTCTTGCCATTAACAGCTTCATCAGTAACATGGATCCTGATGAGGTGGGGGAAAGAAGCAGAAAAATGTCCCCCTTTAGCCCAGAAGGCTGGCCTATAGCCTGCATAGTTCTGATAAGGATCAAATACATCCTGGTTGCTACATTCTTAAAGGGTCTCATGACTGCCTGTACGTCTCATTGATGGTTAATATCAAACTGCATGATAAGCACCAGAAAAATCTTGCAAAAGTCATTTTACAAGTAGGAATTTGAAGAAGACATTTATGATCTCATACTCCCTGCACGTCCCCTCCCCCTTGAGCACTAAGCATAAAACCACCAGCTTCACAGAGTCAAGGTGCAGCTCTAGCATGGGGTCCTGTCCCCGTGCCACTAGAACAAATTTACTAAGTTGCACCATACAACATCTCAAGAACTCTTTCTTGACCCTCACACTCAGTGATCCAGCAACACAAACCAGCAGTGAGCAGAAGATATCTTGTGACCCCGTCTTCAGAGAACCAGGCA